GATCAGCCCAAATATCAAAGAGAAATGAAAAATGCATGCCGTGGAAGAGCTCGGGTCTTAGGAGGTTAAGGCGAAACCCACAGTTGGACACTTCCCCGCCCTTATATTTGCCCAAATGTCATCTGGTGAGTGATGAGACAAAAGCTGAACTTTTTGGAATATTTGGAAGGTAAATTTGACGTAAAATGAACACGAAAAATATACCGACAGTCAAACATGTTGGTGGTACTCTGATGGTTTGGGGCAGCTTTCTTGATTGGACCAGTTGCTGTAAGGGAGGGAACCATGAATTCTGCTCTCTACCATCATTGTGTCCTAAAGTTGAAGCACATTTGTAGCAGGACAACTGACAGGGACTAGAAAGACGAGCCATATTTCTCTCATATTGGCTTCTCTTCTTTGAATGCAAAATTGACTTTAAAATACTTCTGCTCACATACAAGGGCTTGAATAATCAGGTGCACTCCTGTCTTTAAGACTTCATACTGACATATCAACCCAATAGCACACTTTGCTCTCAGACTGCAGGCTTACTTGTGGTTCCTAGAACATTTAAAAGTAGAATGGTAGGCAAAGCCTTCAGCTTTCAGGCCCCTGTTTCTGTGAAACCAGTTCCCAGTTTGGAGTCTTCACTTTTAAGATGAGCCTTAAAACGCTTCGATAAAGCTTATAGATAGGAGTAGATTAGATGACCCTCAGCCCTCCCTTAGTTAAACTGCAATAGGTCTAGGCTGCTGGAGGGATGTACTGTTTCTTCTTTACTTACCAGTTGTTGATTCTGTGTGTCTTTATCTATGACTTTGCAGCTGTTATTAATATCTACTCACTTCCATAGCTTGTCTTTTGTTCTGTCTCCCTTGCCTAACCACCAACTGGTCGCAGCAGATGGCTGCCCATCCCTGAGGGTGGTTCTGCCGGAGGTTTGTTCTTGTTAAAATGGAATTTATCTTTTTTTGGTCATAGGCGATTATTTGATCGTTGGGAACAATATGAGGGTTTTGGAGTGGCCTAGTCAAAGTCTGGACTTAAATCCGATTGAGGCAGAATGTGTGGCTGAATTAAAACAATTCTGCAAATAAGCAATGTGAAAGACTCACTGCCAGTTATCGCAAATGCTTAATTGCAGTTCTTCCCACCAAGGGTGGTACAACCAGTTGAGAGGTTAAGGGGGCAATTGCTTTTTTACATGGAATTTTATGTTTACTTTGCTTATCTTTGGCTAATATTAAAATTTGTTTCATGATCTCTGTGGCAAATAATACTATTTTTAGTGTCTAAAACTTGTGCAAAGTATGGCAAGTTACCAATAACATGCTTTTTTCTAAAGCAAAGATCTGGCTCTTGTCCAAAAGCACACAACAGTAGCTTTCATTAATGGTTGCTGCAACCAAGTCTTTTGCCAAAAGCATGTCTCCCAGAGCTTCTAGAGATCTGTTGTCTGTCTCTATGTGACCCCCCTACACCCCAGCCCCCACCCTCAACCCTCACAAGGATAAGTAAAAGAGAATGGAAACTAGGTCTTTGAATGTTACTACCACTTAAGCTAAATTTAACTGACACAAGAATATCTTTCATCAGTGCTTGTGTTGTCAGTAATCTTACCTGCTGGGGCTGATACTGTGAACTTTGGGATCCAACCAGGGTGCATGTGGGCTGTCTTCATTATAAACTAGAGGCTGAGTGCAGTGCAGAGTAAGTGAAGGTACATTGTGGTGAGTGTGAGAAGGCCAAAAGGCTGAGGGGCTGAGGGGAGGACACAGAGATGATGGACTGTCAGTGATGGGTGACCTGGTGTAGCTCAGCATGGAGGGGCTGTAGAAGGTCAAAGGTCCGTGCCCGTGGTTATACTCATGGTTACTGTCTGTGTATGGAGAGGGAATGCAGACGGTGTGGCTGTCCATGCCCACAGGAGGGCTGTACATAGCAGGCAGAAGTCCTGGGGAGCTCATCCTCTCTGTGGCTTTACTGGAGTCCACCTCCTCAAGCTGAAGGAGGGGTAACGGGTTAGCATCCAGGGCAGGGGAGGAGGTCATGTCAGGGGAATATACTGTATATGCTGTGAATGAATGATTTGATGCAGGGGGATATTCTATAGCATCTTCTCGAATGGCCGGGTCCTGTAGCAGAGAGGGAAGAAACTCTATATTAAAATAATTAACTACTGCAAATTCTGAGCAAATACCAATATTTACAATATCGACCATAGCAGATTTTCTTTTTATACCAAGGAATTTATTTTTTTAAATTATGTAGCTCAGAGTTTTTCAGTTCACCATCTTAGAACAAGTCCATATGTTCAGAATGCACTAACTCAGTCTCAGTTTGAAGACATCAAAATTATAGTTTTGCAGTCCAAAACTGACAAGACATAATCATCTAATTTGGCAAAAGGCAGGTTCAATTTTAAAAACATTCCCTAACTCGAGCGTGACCAAGACAGTAACTAGTCATCTATTTTGTCAACTGCTTTAAGGATCTGTCACCAGGGTGGCTTGCCCACTTACCTAACATGCATGTGCCAGTTTGCGACACAAAGCCTCATTACTGTGAAGCATACAAGCAATGCACTAGAATTATTCTTTAAGAATACTTAATCTGTATAGCACTAAATCACAGTTGCCTCAAAGTGCTTTATATTGTATGGTAAGTACTCTAGAATAATACAGAGAAATTCCAACAATCAGACCAACCCCCTGTGAGCAAGCACTTTGGTGACAGTGGGAAGGAAAAACTCAGTTTTAACAAGAAAACATCTCCAACACAACCTGGTTCTGGGAGGGGCAGCCATCTGCTGTGACTGTTTGGGGGTGAGGGGAGGAAAACAGGACAAAAAACATGCTGTGAAAGAGAGCCAGGGAGGATAAGGGAGGATTGAGGGTCACCAGATCCAGCCCTAATTATAAGCTTTGCAAAAAGGAAAGTCTTAAAGCCTAATCTTAAAAGTAGAGAGGGTGTCTGTCTCCTGAATCCAAGCTGGGAGCTTGCTCTACAGAAGAGTGGCTTGATAGCTGAAGGATCTGCCTCCCATACTACTTTGAAATATCCTAGGAAACACGAGTAAGCCAACAATCTGAGACCTAAGTGCTGTATTGGGGTCATCATCAGTATCTGGCTTCGTGGAATGATAAAGCTGGGTATCATCTACATAGCAGTGAAAATACATGCTATGCCTTGTAATTATACTGCCCAGGGTAAGGCTATATAGGAAGGATGTAACTTGTCCTAACACAGAACCCTGTTTAACTCTACAATTAACCAATTAACATATCCACTAAAGGGGTCAACATTCTTGACAACGCTCTTTTACAAAGAGCCATTTTTAGCCATTAGTCCTTTGGACATAATGCTGAAACTTGCAACCTTCTTGTTCTCTCTTGTTTGTGCCTGTCCCTACTAAAGACAAGTAGCTCAATCAGCTCAGTCACTCTCCAACGTTTCTTTGTCTTCTCAGGGGGTGTCGCTCTTTGTTATGTGGGCGTGTCGCTCCTTATGGCATCCTCAGCACATGTTCCAGACATCTTAGGTGCTGTTTTTCAATGTGTTTTAGTGTTTCTTAAAAAATATTAGCTAATTTTAAATGCGATGCCAGAAACACATCTAGTGGCACACATTTAGTGATGCTTAAAAAAAGGTTTAAGAAACATTTAGCAGCTAATTAGCTTAACTGTGCAATCTGTGTGCAAGAAACAGGGCGCTTCTCTGAGCCTGGTTCTGCTGGAGGTTTCTTCCTGGTAAGTTTTTCCTTGCTCATATGGGGTCATATGATTGTTGGCATTGTTTGTTGGGGTTTTTTTTGTATTATTGCAGGGTCTTTACCTTACAATATAAAGTAAGGCAACTGTTACAGTGATTTGGCCCTATAAATAGTATTGAATAGAATTGAACTGAACTGACTTGAATGAAATTTAAAGTCAATATTGGATGCCTGTAAACTTTGGACCCTCAGTTGCAGTCCTGGTTGCGCCATTAAAAATCACTCCATGGTCTCAGGAACGCTTCCAGAAGTCACTGTCCAAGAACACCGTGAACTTTGCTAGCAATAAATGCAGGTTAAAGCTCTATCATGCAAATTATAAGCCAAATGAGATCGAGAAATTAAACAGTAGCAAACTGTTCTGTGGTCAGACAAATTTTAATTTCTTCATGGAAAATGTGGATACTCTGCCTCAATAATTCTGATGTGTGGTTGCCATCAAAATCTAAATGAGCCAATTGTTCTCTTAAAACGTCACATTTTCTCAGTTTAAATATTTAATGTTCTACTGTGAAATCATTGCATTCGGTTTTTATTTAGATTTCACACAGCACGCTGACAGATGATGCCACAGCTTCATTTACCATTTCAAATAATTTCAGTAACACCCTGTAGCTTTTAGATAAAATAGCATCCCTGGATGAATATACAGGACAAAAATTGGTTTTCAAAGAAGTCAATTTCTAATGTAGTCAGCAAAATGTTTTTACATAGTCACACTGAAAACAATGAATAAAAGTAATAAATAGTGTAAGGATGTTAAAAATGTGCAGTTCACCAAAATAAAATGTTTGTGTCGGCACTTCCCTAAAACTCTGCAACTGATATTGAATATGCATAGCTAACAAGAACCATGAACAAAACTAAAAAGACAACATTTTCTATAATGAATGCACTGCATCTGAAACCTTTAAAGCAGATGGGCTACAGCAGCAGAAGACCACGCTGGTTACCAAACCCATCATCTAGGAACAGGAAACTGAGGTTGCAATGCACACAGATCACCAAAATTGAAAGAAGATTGGAAAAAGGTTGCCTGGTCTAATTTATTCAGATGACAGGGTCAAAATTTGGCGTAAACTATGCATCAAAGGTTGACACTAAGTTCACTGTACTCAGACATCTCAGTCAAAACATCTCAACATGAGGGCACTTTTATAATGTGGCAGAAGATGTAGTGGGAGATTCATGGACATCATGGATTTTTAACTGATAAACCTGCAGCAACTCAATGGTTCAGTGATGTCAATCTGGACAAGAATCTCAGCAGAAAGGTTCCAACACCTCAGTGAAGCTAAGAGAGGATCCAGCCCCTTTGGTCTGCTGAGTGCGTTGCTCTCTGGTAATATTAGTCTGCAAACCTGGAGCAGACACTGGGTGCCTGATTGTTGTGTTTGAAAGATAAAAACTAGACACATGTTTCATGGCTAAGTGAAAAAAATTAGTCTGCTAAAGTTTTACTTTTAACGAAGTAAACTGCTCACTGGGACTCGAACGCTCTTACATGAGAAACACGAGATTCTGTTTTTTCTCGTTAGCGTGCAAAGAAAACAGTGGTCATCAAAAAAAGGCGTTGTGGTGTAATTGGTTTAGATTGCACTACTCTGCCAAAATCACACAATACACAATAAGAAGGCCAAACGGTTACAGTATAATAACTCAAAGCAAAACACCCTGCATTAGTAGTTCAACTGCAGTGGCAGGCACATTACCCTACTAAGTAGTAGCTGAACTACTAATGCAGGGTGTTTTGCTTTGTTAGCTAACACCAACAACTGACATGTGTTAAATATTCCCACAGACTTTGTTACATGCTGCTTTTACTGAACATGTGTCTCTCTCTCACACACACACACACAGTTTGTGGAGCCCAGTGAAATGATGTAACAGCTTACTTACTGTGCCGAAGGCGAAGAGACGAACCCAGTATTTATTAGCAGTGTGATTAAACCGTGAACATTTGTTCCAGAGACAGAATATAAAAGCACAAAATGATCTGCCTGTTTGACCTCACTTGGCTTGCAAAACTGTGCCAGCAAACTATGCCAGCAAAGCCATCCACTGGTTAATCAGTGCCAAAATCAACAGCTCAGCAGCTGGTATCTCTGCACAGTCAATCGCACACACCATGAATGACAAGTAGAAACATACAGCTGGCAGGTAAGAGGAGTGAGTACATCTAAGTACATTTGGAAACACTTTTTCAAGCCCTACATGCATCATGAAGTCCTAGGTGAGCAAAGAGTCTGAAAGTACAGTAGTGCCGTGGCTATGGAGGTAGAGAAAAAGCAAAATATGGCAAAATTTAAGAAAAAGCTAAATATAATACAATGAATAAGGCTTTGTGTTTCAGATCTCTGTGTTCTCTTATGTTTCTGTTTTTAATTTGTTTTAAACGCTGCTCTATTTTCCACTTTGCTGCCACAATCCATGGCCTGGATAGTAAACATAAAGCTACATTTCACTCGCTTCACAGTGTCAGCGGAGACCAAAGGTCATAATAACATGCAAATATATCTTGGACAAAAGGATAAATTATAAAACACAACAAAAACGTCTGCAGTTCAACGCTGTTACTGTGTACTAGTCAGTCAATGAACAGTCAATGTGTGTATAACGCAGGTCAGGTCAAAGTGGTCTTGAGCAAAAACAATGCACCCTGTATACGAACGTCACCTGTCACCTAATTCCCAGCCTGGGTCCTTCGAGCCCATCACATTCACTTCCATTCACAAAAAATAAATACATCCCAGAAATACAGCCTTTGATTTTAACTAGTGGGTTTCACTGAACCCAAGTGGACACCATGAGTTGAAATCATAGCTCTTAAGTCAGGTCAGATGTCCATACATACAGACACCTGCCTTGCTGCAGGTAGATGGTTAAGATAAACAGTGACAGTAATTATGTATTTTCCATAATATGTTAGTATTATTTATCATTTAGCTTTTAACATCCAATTTTAGAAGTGCATACAGGGCACTGTAAGTAATGTGTATGATGCCGAACATGATAATCGCCTGATCTGACGAGAAGAAGCAAATATCTGCTCATCGCTGACATCAGATCCAAAGACAGCTTACACAGTAACTGTAGCTGCTGTTTTAAGTTTGGTATTTTGGTTCAAATACATTTCATAAATTTTTACTAGTGGTTTAAATCAGGAAATTTCTCTTAGCTGTACTGCCAAGGAGCAGAGATATGAAGCTATCCCATATGGAAAAGATATATATAAATCTTATAAAGTTTGTTGTGTGTGAAACTTGTATGAAAAGCATACAAGAGTGAAAACAGATATAAGATC